TGTTTCTCGCAACCACCGCCAGGGTATTATTTCCGGCTTCTGATTGGCCACATTCGAATTTTTGAAGACGCCCTGGAACACGCCCAGCCTGCTTTCGGCCAATGGCACTTCCTCATTTGTCTCCTATACTTCCCAACGAATGGCCAAACTTTCTACATATATGGGTCTGTCTCAGCTTAAAGGTGAACGGAATATAGGGCACCGTGTCTCAATGCAATGAAATTTCGTAAAGTCCAAAACCGGGTACAGCAGAGCGACCGGCCAAGGAGAAAAGATAAGAAGGTTTGAAAGGCCCCGTCTTGCAAGGCAGACTGGTAATACTGAACAATCACGGGCGTTGGAACACTGTGAAGAACATCAGGGGCTTATTTACTGTCCTAAAAGAACTGAAGGAACACAAATGTTGGAACACTGCAAAGAACCTCGAAAACTTATATATTGCCCTTAAAAAAAAAAAAAAAAAACTGAACGAGCATGAGCGCAAGAACGTTGTGAAAAACCGCGGGGGCTCTTTTTGTGCCCAGAAAAGAGTTAAACAGTCGAAAAAACGGGACGGGCCGACAGGCTCGGCCAACGCACCAAAATATAGCGGTAGCTGTCGCGCCGAAATATAGTGGTAGCTGACGCACCAAAATGTAGTGATCCTCTGGTGGAGAGGCGACGATGATGGAGGTTCGACGATCCGGCTGTTACTTGGCAGCAGGAGACATCCAGGAAGGGCCGGTAGAGCGGCAGCGCTATGGGGTGTCCTGATGGGTGACGAGGCAGAGGCGATTGACCTTTAGATTTAGGTTTAATAAATCATAGAGCAAAACATCAAACCAGAAGAACGCAAACGGTGAAAGAGGCGCAAGTTCGGGCTCGCGCTGGCGCTTGTAAAAGCACAAATAGCGCTCGTGACGACACAACAATCTAGTAAAAGCCAATTACTACGCTGCCACTGAATCTCAACCTGCTACTGAATTGGAAGGTTCGCGCACCACGTACGTACAGCCAGGAGATACAACCACGACGGGTGCAGCTCAGACATTCAACCAGTCCGAGATTGATGAAAACAGTACGAGCGACACAGTCACATACCTCTGAGCATGTTTACCCTGCCGATCCTCGGTCCCAGCGTTCAATGGTTCAACACGATCAGATATACAACTAATCATTTTTTTTTAATATTCTTTGCAATAAAATAGGTCAGAAATATATCCTCACATCAGTTCAGCAAACACCCACGCCGCTTGTTGTTGTTATGGTGCCACAGCTACACGCTACACCCCCCCACGGTCCACGGCTGTCGAGACCAGTGTTGCTGCGCGCGCTGACAAAATGTTTATTCCACCAATTTACGCGAATTGCACAACATATGTGATCTTGGCGGATCTTAAAAGATCACGAAAGCTAAGGAAGCATATCATTTATAGTCTTCCAGTAGTTATCCAAGTTACTAATATCATTTACGACTGCCTGCACGTGAATATCGGATTCGAAAGTCACTACACCCTCGTCGTCACCTGCAGAAAGGCGGTCATTCCACAGCGGTTTGGGGTCGTAACTCGCCTTTTGGGGTAGTCAAAGCCTCCAAAGCGCCATTTGACCACACAGGGTAGTCATTTTTTCTTAGAGTGTAGATCGCGGTGGAGATCAAAGTGGGCTGGGACGGACAGCGGTAGATTGGTCAGCGGGGTGAGCGTAGGATTAAGCATTTTGGGCGCCAACGTCTCTTTGTGTGCGAATTAAGGTTAGTTTAAAAAAATACTACTGGTCAGGTTTTATGAGCCTTCACAGGGCTACGTCCGACGCGCTTATTTACGTTATCGTGGCGCCCTGGATTTTTTCGAGCCATTTTTAATGGAAGCTCGGGTTTGTTGCAAAGGAAGGGTTGTTGTTGTTGGTCACGTTTTGTTTTTATTGATGCCCTCACCACCTTGATCTCAGATCATTTGTGGGAGGAGATGAGCGATGGGGATGATGTCGCAACACATTGCAAAGAGTGCAATTGCAATCCACTATTCGGGGAAACAAGAATCTTAGAGAGGCACAAAGATAAATTGACCCGCGAGGTTATGGAAGTCTACCACATCATATCCGCCACTAATAAATGCATAAGTGTTGAATCGGTAGCCGAACAAGCAAGGAAATAGACTTTTTAACACGGACAATGAGGAACCCGCATGAGTCACGGTTGCCACGAGACATCAGGCACGATGACAAAGCGACAGCCGACCACGGATGAAGTGTTCGACTTCCTCTCTGACAATGGTGACCCCGCACGAGCCACGGCTGATGCAAATACACCCCGCACCACGGCAACGTAACGGCCAACAACGGATTTGGTGTTTAAACAAAGAACTAGTGTCTCAAGCATGTGCCCCCGAGAGAACATCCTACTATGTGTTTTATATTTCTGTTTTTTTTCTTTCTCTTGTCATCTTTATGGGGATCTTGGCGATGTTCTTCCTGCTCTTCATACTTGTAAATATAGTTGTGAGTAGCGCTCTTTCCTGTCTCTTCTCTCTTCTCTATACGTGTACGCTAATACCGTTCAAATGTTTAATTACCAACTAGCCCAGTTATCAACCCTTTTACAGTTTTCGTATACTTAGTGGAAGGAGGAACCGACGAATAGATTCTGAGACGCCTTTTCCATAAGGGATAGTCACCACGCCGGATTTTTAATTATTAGTCGCTTTTGTTCTTCCCTGCTGAATTTGTTTACGTGTGTTTTTAATAAAATCGTGTGAATACCCGCGCCTCAAAAGGGATCCGATAACCGTCTGAACTTCCGATGCTTGTAAATCTGAATTTGAAGGGAAATGTTCTGGTCGGTTAATTAAAGTTTTTACAACAGCTCGCTTATGTTATACTGGGTGGTGAGAATTGAAACTAAAAAAAATTACCGGTATCACAAGGTATACGATACACGGTGGTTTCAATATGACCGGTGTCACTTCGGCAAACAGTTACGTCCAGAAAAGGTAACGTGTTATTTTGTTCTACTTCTCGCGTGAACTGTATGGAGGATTCAATGCTGTTTAGGGTCGCATGGAAGTTGTCGACGTGTTTCTCATTTAAAATAACGAAAGTGTCATCAACGTAACGTCGATCGAATTTGACAGGGCATGCTTTTACTTCTAACGCGGTTTGCTCTATGTGTTCCATTACCAGATTAGCCAAGGTCACAGATACCGAATTACCCATTGGGCAACCTTCAATCTGACGATAGAATTGTCCGCGGAAGGTGAAATGCGACTGATTTAGACACTGCAAGAGTTTTCAGTGCATTAGTGAATAAAGATATGACATCAAACGAGACTATTACATCTCCCTTGTCCAGAACATGACCTCAAATCAGGTCAACAAATTCTCGAGAGTTTATAACTGTAAAGTTGTTATTTCCTGTTATGAGAGAAAGCAGCTCTACTAGATACTTTGATTGGTTGTACGGGAAGGGAACCAACAAAGGACACAATCGGTCGTAGAGGACAATCGGGTTTGTGAATTTTGGAAAGGCCGTGAAGTTTTAGAGTACAACCATCGGAAGAAAAAAGGTGGCGGTAAAGTGTGTCATTTAAGCGGTTCTTCTTTTTTAGATCACGTAGATGGTACCAGAGCCCTTTAAAAATTTTTAATCGGATCCTACGCTAACTTTACAAAATGAGCGGTGTATTGGAGGATGGCATCCATTTTTTGAAAATAAGCCTCTTTGTCAATGACAACCGTGCCCCTTCATTATCTGCAGAAAGAACAAAGATTGATTGGTCGGATTTAAGGTCCAGTAGTGCCGCGTGTTCGTGCTTATTCAGATTCGACAGGGTGGTTTTTGCGTTATTTAAAGTAGTCATTATACGGCTGCGTGCTAGGTTAATCCCCGAGCTATCATGGAGATGACGCAGCTTCTCTTCTATTTCCACGATAATGTCTCGTTTAAGGACAACGCGCGGGGCCAAAGCAAGATCTAGTCCTTTTGACAGAAGGCTTACATCACCGTCCGAGAGATGTTTCGACGCCAGGTTATAGATGGAAGTTGAAGTTGGTCTGGTGAAGGGCTTGGGTATACGTTGTGATAATTTCTTGTCGTGAATGTTCGTGAGCTTGATTTTCTCCAAGTCTTCAGCTTGCTTACGCGCGCCAAAAACGTGGTGCATGTCTTCGGGTTGAAGATTCCTCTGCAGGAATTTCTCATCTGCAGCGAGACGGTGCCGACAGTCGTTGATCCTCTGCTTGTTGTCCAAGATCCGGGCCTTTAGGCAGTTTCGGTTGAATTCTTACGCCAGTTTTCTGCCGTAGTGGGTGTCAACACGAAGCCGGCAACGAAGAGCTAGAGGCATCACATTGTGATTCAGGCACTCACGATTGAAGTGTTGATGACGTTCCAAGCGGATTAGAAAGTAAGGGCGACAAAGTCAACGAAGTAGAAGGTGATCGAGTCTCCCCGCAAACAAATGGACAAGTTTTATTAGACGCCAATCGTAAAGAGGGAATCTTAACATTCAAGGCGGATAGTCTGAAAGTGCTATTGACCCTAAACCGCGCACAGCTAATTCGATAATAGGAAACAGACGACTCTCTGAGCCATTGCCGGCACGCTGTCGCCCTGGGAATCACTAAAAAAAAGACAGCATTCTTTAAAAAAATGGTATTTTGTATCGACGGTACAGTGATCGTAGCGAGGTCACATTCGAACAAGTTGAACTGCCGCATAAGTTTCGTGCAGACTTATTGGCTGTATGTCACGGCAACACATGGGCAGGGCATTTAGGTATCACTAAGACTAAGAAAAGGCTTCTCCAGGACTACTAATGGCCAAATTGGTTTTAAAACGCTGAAAACTTTGTAAGATCTTGTGATATTTGCCAAAGAGTTGGCAAACCGAATGAGAGGTGGAAGGCTCCTCTGAAACTGGTTCCGATAATCAGAGAGCCATTTCGAAGGCTTGTCATAGATATTGTGGGGCTGTTACCTCCTGTTCTATCGCAGCGTCGCAGGCAGACAGGCTCTCCGGGTAGCTGGAACGTACTGAACTTTTATTACGGCCAGACAGTCTGTTTTATAGACGTAAGCAAGAGTGACGTAATAACGTTGGGCGAATCACATGCGACCTTTACAGATATAACATTCCTTCCGCCTTTAAAACCGCCATACATGTCATTACGGTCGAGTCTACTTGGCTTGACGACGAAACTCGTACGATTGGTAGCGGTCCGGTGCTTTCCGGGTCCGGCTTCCTCTTCGAAGCGTTGGTGCTGTGGAAGACGCAGAGGCAGATCCGTCGCCTTGATCTTGCTGAGCAGCTGCAGGAGGCTCGGAGGCAGAAGCGTTGTGTTGAGTGGGCTGTCGATCATCGGGCTCAGGTACCTCTAGGGGCTGCTCTGGGTGTGGAACCGAGCCGGTGCCTTGACTCGGGAGCTCAGCGGCGTGGAACCTCGGAGCAGGAGATTCCGCCTTGGGTAGTTGACCAGCGCGGCTGCCCTCCGGGACTGCTTCCGTTGTGGCGCTCGGTGTTGGAGCTGGGATCTCAGGAAAAACAGACCCAGTCGAAGAAGCCCAACTTGCACGGAGATGGTCCATATGGATGAACCGTGTTCGATTATTCACATTCACCAAATATGTAGTGGGGCTCACAACTTGAGTTACCAGCCCTTCTTCCCAGGACACTTCCTCGCCTCTAGTCGTTTTTACAAGTACTTTGTCACCTGCTATAAACGACTCTCCCCGACCTCTCCGGCCGTTTCGTAGTGCAGTTTCGCGTTCTTGCTTAGTCCTCATGTCTCCTGCAAAGTTTGGTCGTAACAGTGAAAGCAGTGTTCGAGGTTGACGCTTCAAAAACAGTTCTGCTGGGGTCTTCCCAGTAACGGAGTTTGGTGTATTCCTGTACGCCAACAAAAAATCGTTTACTCGTTCCAGAATAGTCCTTTTCCCCCCGGTGATTTGATCATGTCTTATACCCCATTCACACGACCAGCATAAAGGTACCTTTAACATAGGTCCCTTTGCAGCCAGCGAATCAGCCCGCGCTAGTAGATCGCGAGCATATACCACGCGCGGAGGATCGCGAACTGATTCGCCTTTCGCCATAAAGGTCCCTTAGCTAAAGGGACCTTTATGCTCGTGTGAATAGGGTATTACTTGTTTCAACAGGGTAGTCTTCGTAGTTTGTACCAGGCGCTCAGCGGCTCCATTCGAGGCTGCGTGATACGGTGGTATCCGGGTATGTTTTATGCCATGCCGCTGCAGGTAGACCCCAAAGTCCTCTGCGGTGAATTGTGGGCCGTTGTCGCTCACCAACTCTTCTGGGTAACCGTAGGCTGCAAAAACAGAGCTGAGGCACCGCACAGTTTTTTCAGTGGTCGTGCTTGACACTACAAACACTTCAATCCACTTTGAAAAAGCATCCACCAACACAAGAAAGTTCAAGCCCTCCTTCGTTGCGTAGTCGACGTGTATCCGTTGCCATACGCGACTTGGATACGCCCAGGGCTGCAGGGGTCCTGGCGATTTTGCTGGCAGAACACTTTGGCATACCTTACAGTGACGAACTCTCGTTTCAATGTCGCCGTCCAAAGTTGGCCACCAAACGAACGACCTAGCAAGCATCTTCATCCGCGTCATTCCGGGATGTTCTTCATGCAAGAGTGTCAATACTTGCTCTTGGAGGGTTAAAGGGACGATAACCCGCTGGCCCCATGACAGACAGCCCTGTTCCAGGGAAAGTTCGTTGCGGCGGACGTAGAAAGGCCTCAGTTCCTCGGAGACGGACGATGGCCAGCCGTTTAAAGTGAAGTCAGCAACCGCTGATAAAACGCGGTCGCGCTGTGTAGCAAGTGCCACCTCTTTCGCAGTTAACGGCGTAGCCGCAAATAAAGCAAAGCATTCTTCCTGTTCTTCCGCAGCTGGAACAGGGAGCGGGAAGCGCGATAAAGCGTCGGCCACTTCCATGTTTTTGCCTTTGCGATACTTTAAGCTATACTGATAAGCAGATAGCGTTACTGCCCAACGCTGCATCCTAGCAGCCGCTAGTGACGGGATAGGCATGTCTGGAGCCAAGATTCCAAGAAGCGGTTGATGGTCCGTGAATAAGCAAAACTTCCTGCCATACAGGTATCTGTGAAACCGTCGCAATGCGAAAATTATGGCAAGGGTTTCTTTCTCTCCTTGCGCGTAGTTTCGTTCGGCAGTGCTCAATGTGCGCGAAGCAAAAGCTATTGGTTGCTCGCTTCCATCTGGCAAAATGTGAAAGATAACGGCCCCCAGGCCGTACGCTGACGCATCAGAACTCACTCCTATCGGTCTATTGACGTCGTAGTACGTCAATACCCGACTGTTCAAAAGAAGCTGCTTCGTTGTTTCAAAGGCTTTTGCACATGCCTTTGTCCATTTCCAATGACGGTCTTTTTTGAGGAGCTCGTACAAGGGTGCAGCTGCCGTTGCAAAGTTCTCAAGAAATTTCCCGTAAAAGGTCAACAACCCCAAGTAGGCTCTTAGCTCTGTAACATTTGTCGACTCTGGGGCAGAAATGATAGCCTTTACCTTGGTGTCGGTTGGGTAGATCCCTTCTGCCGAAACCTTGTGTCCGAGGTAAACCACGGAGTCCTGGAAGAACCTGCATTTGTCTTCCTTCAGGGTAATGTTATACTTCTGTAAGCGTTGCAGCACTTTCTCCACGCTAGCTTGGCAAGTTTTCATGTCGGTTCCTGTAACGATAACATCGTCAATATAGCATCCGACTCCCGGAATGCCCTGGAAGACCTGGTCCATCATAGACTGAAAAATCGCCGGTGCGCTGGCGATTCCGAAAGGCAAACGCTGATACTCAAAGAGCCCTAGGTGAGTGTTGACCGTCAGCAGGCGTTTGGATTCCTCGCTCAGGGGCACTTGCTGATATGCAGACGAAAGGTCCAGCACACAAAAGACTTTTCCCCCAGCCAGTGTCGCAAACAAGTCTTCGGGCCGCGGCAGGGGGTAAACATCCATCTTGAGCACGGGGTTAACTGTTACTTTATAGTCACCACAAAGTCTAATGCCCCCTCCTGCTTTCTTCGGCACAACCACCAAGGGTGTAGCCCAGTCGCTTTTAGTGACGTGCTTCAATATTCCACGCTCTTCGAGCCTGTTCAGCTCTTTTGCTACCTCGTCCTTAAGAGCAAAGGGAATAGGTCTCGCTTTGCAGAAAACCGGCTGACTGTTTTCCTTAACCGCTATGTGGGCTTCATAATTTTTGACAATGCCCGGCGAATCCCTGAAGGGCTCAGGGAACTTCTTCCGCAACGCAGCTACCTTGTCGGCCGCCGTGACAAGGCACACTGCATTCCAGTTAATTTTAAGGTGCTCGAGCCAACTCCTACCCATCAACACTTGCATTTTCTTATCATCGTTCTGCACAACAAAAAGCGGTAGAGTCAGGCTTTGTCCCTCGTAGTCAACCGTGGCGGAAAGCAATGGCGTCACAGCCGAGTTGCGAGGCCACTTGCTTCCAGGAACTCTAGAAGAGCTCGAAAATTGTGTTCTGCGAGGCGCTTGCCCCCGTTCGGGAACATCAGTTGGTGGGGCGTTGTCACCGACGTGCGGGATGTTTGCAGGGCAGTGTGAAGCACAGTTCGAGCTCTACGGTATTTTGGACACGACCATAGCACGTGTTCGGTGTCCTCCAGGGTCCCGCAGCTGTCGCAATTCGGAGTATTTTTGCGTGAAATCTTGTGCAACAGTTTTGCCCTAAACGGGCAGCCCGCTCTCAGGCGATGCTGAAGGCTAGACTCCTTTCGGCTGAGTTTCGACTCCGGTAGGGGAGGAGGAGCATTGCCAGAGGCGACACCGTCATGAGGATGCCCCATTCGTGTGATCAGATGGACAAGACGCTTGGCCTCACTTAATCGGGGGATGAAGTATTCTGGGGTCTCCTGGCCATGAGCCTCAGCCGCCAGAGAGTCCACCTGCTCGTTGCCTTTAATGCCATAGTGAGATGGAATCCATTGAAATGCCAGTCTCCATCCCTTGGCTTCAACTTTGCGGGCTACATGGGCGGCTTCCTGTGCGAGTGGTGGGGCATCTTCCAGGTTTTCAAGATGACAAAGGGCGCTTCTGGAATCTGTTAGTATAACTGCCGCTTGAGGCTCAAGTACAAGCAGCGCCTCAAAAGCCTTACAGATAGCTACTAGTTTCACAGTTGTTGACGTTGTATGAAAATTAAGCCTACCAGCTTGCTGCTCCGCCATGGACGGGATCAGAAATGCCGCTGTAGATGCTGTTTCGGGCTTAGTCGACCCATTAGTGAAGACATGTAGCCAGCCTTTATACCATCTATCTAGGTGATCCATAGCGAGGGAACGAGCTACTATGGGAGCGACAGATGACTTTCGTTGGAAGAACGGTAGAGTACCGGTCACATTCAACGGTGGTAAGATTGTGTGGGGTGGTGTCGGTGGGAATCGCCTTTTGGGTGGTCCGATCTGGTACTCGAATTCTATTGTGACAGTTCCGAGGCAGGAGAGCGGCCGTGAGCGGAGTTTGGATAGAAGAGATGTCGTCGACAAGGCGTCTTGGAGTCGCACTAGATGGCGCATTGCGCGTTTTCTTTTGTGAAGCGAGATCGGGTTTTCTCTTGCCTCAACTAGCGTCGCTACATTTTCAGAGAATCGTGGAAGCCCAAGGCACAGTCGCAGCGCGCATCGATGAAATTGCTCCAACTGCTGTATCTGGGGTCTGCCAAGGTTAAGTAGTGGTACAGCGTAAAGTATTCTTGAGAGGATGAGTCCACGGTAGAGAGCTAGAAGTCCCTGTGGAGAGAGGCCCGAGTTCCTTTGTCGGAAGCAGCGAAGAACGCCCATCAGCTGACGACACTGGATGAGTAGTCGCCTTGCTTCAGGGGCGCCAGGTCACGTGGTTGTCGACCAGGACGCCCAGGTATCGTTGAGTCGTAACATGCTGAAGAGGGATGTTACCTATCTTCGGAGCATTAGCTACGGGTCGGCAGGGTGTTCCGTCGGGACGGTAGCAAAGAAACGCGTTTTTTGTGACAGAATAAGTGAGCCCGAGGTCTTCTGTGGTCTTCACAACCACGTCAAGTGCTCTTTGCAGCTGTGAGCCGATACTTTTTGAAGCCCTTAAAGGACCGACGCACCAGAGTGCTGCATCGTCAGCGTATATGGCGATGTGCAGAGCTGCAGGAGATTTGGGCAATTTTTTCAGAGAAAACGGAGGGCGGCCATAGCAAGGTTAAAGAGGAAAGGATTTAAAACACTGCCCTGAGGAACACCTTGTGTCACCGAACGACGGCTGCTTACGGCGCCAGGAACTCGTACGAAAAAGGATCTTCCTGTAAGAAAGGCGCACACGTAGCTGTACAATCTTCCTGTAATGCCGAAATGTCGTAGGCGCTGACGAATTATTGCATGTAGTAAAGCGTCAACTGCCTTTTGTATATCTAGGAACACACAATACACTGTCTGGTGAGATGCTCGTGCCTCCTCTAAAGTGGGCGCTAGGTCGCCAATTGCATCGGCAGTGCAGCGTTTAGCGCGAAATCCACGAAGTTCGTCAGGCCGCGCACCTATAGTCTCCATATACCAGGTTAGCCTACGTAACACAAGTCGCTTCATGAGCTTTCCTACGCAGCTTGTTAGCCAGATGGGACGGTACGAGTCAAGTGATTGTGCTGGTTTTCCTGGTTTGCGTATAGGAACAAAAGTAGATGTTAACCAGGCCTCAGGAATCTTAGCTGTGCGCCATATAGCATTAAATGCCTCTAGTATGGCAGAGTACTGTGATCTGTCAAGATTTCGTAGTGCCTGATAAGTTACCCCATCAGGTCCTGGAACACTTTTCCGTTGACACCGACGCAATGCGAATTCAAGCTCTGAGATTGTGAAGTCTGAATCGAGAGCAAGGGGAGGCCAGCTTCTACTATTCGCACTGGATTCCTTACCACTCTGGTAACCTGGAGGTAGTGCAATGGGTGTCGCGAAGGCGTCAGCAAGTAGCTCAGCCGTCTCCCGCATTGTATGGCCAATAGCAATTGCTAGACCTGCGATTGGATGAGTTGGCATTTTTCTCGATGATAGTGTCTGGGCCATCTTCCATGCACGTGAGATACTTGACGCTAATCAAGAGGAAGAGCGAAGTTGGTCCCATTGGTGCCGTTGGAGCCGGGATATGTGCCGGCGAGAAGCCGCATCAAGTTGTCGGTGCCTTATCCAATCTGCGGGATCGTTCGTTCTGCGAGCTCGCCTCTGGGCTCTCCTCCGGGCCGCCCGCAGTTTGAGGTACGTGAGGTCGGGACTAGGACGGGAGATAGAAACTCGGATCGTTTTCGTAGCCAGGGATACAGCGTGAGCGATTGCAGAGGATGGTCTCCCGCAAGCTAAACCACATGTCCTTCCATGCGAGCCCTAAATGCATCCCAATTGGTGACGCGTACCTCTTTGTACATTGGCGTCGGAGGTCTCGGTGAAGTGATTATTATGGGAACATGGTCGCTTCCCCATGTGTCGGGT